AGCCAGACAGGCTTGGGCGGCCAACACGGCGGCAGTTTCGGCCCCAGCGTGGATTTGGAATAAACAAGTGACTCAGCGGCAGATGGAGCTGACAGCCCCACACACGTGTGTGCATACACGCAGGCACACGCCACGCCAGGCCCTGCGTTCCCCTCGCAGATGCTAGTATGCCGTCACCAGGCCGAGCATGCAGGTGATGGTAGAGAGACCAGCTGGGGGACGAGGGCTGTCTCCCTTCTCTCCTCTGCCCCAGGACTCCAGGCATCAGTGTTGGGGCCACAGCCGGCGTGCATGCCCTCCTCTCTCGTGTGTGTAGGTGTGGGGGAGCTGCAAGCTCATTTCTCTCCATGGATCATAGTGTCTGCAAATGTACCAGCGTGTGTGCGTGTGTGTGTAGCTATGGGGGCCTGAGAAGGCCCCCCACCTGGGCCTTGGGATTCAGGGACCCACCTCAGCCTTGCCATGGAGGGCGAGCGTACGGCACCTCACCCTCTGTCATCTCCTGACTCCGTTTTCTCCTGCAGAACAATGCCCAGCGCCTCGGGGTCTCCCAGTCTACCCACTCGCTCACCACCCCAGTGGTTTCCGTGGCAACACCAAGTTTACTCAGCCAGGGCCTCCCCTTCTCTTCCATGCCCACTGCCTACAACACAGGTGAGTGTTGGCGTGACGTGTACATGTGTGCGCTCGGGCTGGGCAGGTGCATGGCCAGAGGGGTGCCAGACCTCCCTGGGGAGGCCCGATTCTGAGCAAGGCCTTGATTTGGGGGAGCCCCCACCTAATTACAGTTGCCAGGTTTATTGAGTCATCGGAAAAGTCACGACACATTTTTGCACAGAAAAACACATAGAAAAATATGTCATGACTTTTTTGATGACCTGATAGTAAATAAAGCAGAATGTCCAGTTAAATTTGAGTTTCAGAGAGAAAGTTAAATAAAAATAAGTTGTTTTTTTTTTTTAAAAAGATATGCTAAAAAAAAGATTTTTTGCTTTTGTCTGAAATTCCAACACACTGAGCCGCCTTTATTTTTAATATGGAGTCTACTAGGGGAGGAAGGGCCTGCATACAGGAGATCTCTAGTCTGAGGAGGAGACAGGATGAGATGGGCTGAGAAGATGGCTCAGGCCAACCAGGCTCTGGACTCCAGGTGTGGGGTTGTGAAGAGGGGCTTCTTTGAGGAGGGTGAAAGAATGAGGGACAGAGGAGACAGGGAGGCCGAGGAGGCTGGAGCGGTCGCACGGTTGTGGTTGTCTGCCAACTGCCTAGGAAAGCCAGGGGCAGTGGAGGAGGGGAGGCCCCGTGTGGGCTTGAGGGTGGGATGACGAGGGTAGGGAAGGAGGAAGACCGTGAAGGTTGTTGGGGAGGGACTGAAGGTGCAGAAGTCACTCGAGGACGGGCGAGGTGTCTGGAGAAAGGAATTCAGACAGGACACCCAGTGCTGGGGCCGTCCAGGGTCCTCGGGGCTGTCCTGGCCTGTGCCGCACACTCACACCCACTGAGAACAGTCTGAGCCTCGGCCACACTCTCCTGCGCTCCAAGCCGCCGGGTCAGGGAGGACTTGGTATGGAGAGGCGCCTCGCCTGGCTTCAGAGCGTAGGCGTGGCTGGGGAACCTGGGCCATCCCAGCCAAGGAGACCTTCATGCCTGGGGTCTCTTGCGTGTGAATGGCATGTGTCAGGGCCCTTCCTATGATGAGATCAGACTAGACCAAAAGATGAAACCCGCCCTCCTCCCTCCCCGGACCTCTGGTCCAGAGCAGTGCCAGCCGATACCAGACACCAACACAGAGGCCCACAGAACCCACTGCCCATGGGTGGCCACCCAAGGAGAGCCCCTCGTGGCAGGGCAGAGCCGGATGAACTGTCTCGTGTTGCGGGCCAGACTCTGGCCTGTCTTTGTAGGCATCACCGCCCAGATGTCTGCTCATGCATGTCCCTCGCGTGTGCACCCGTGTGTGTTCTGGGCTATCATGCCCTTACAGCCTCAGAAGTCACACTGTGGGCCGGTCTTCCCATCTGTGAGAGGAGCGGGCAGACGGGAGGTCTCTGAGCCCCGCCACTCGGGCTCTGGCAACTCGAAAAGCTGGCAGGGTGGGCCGGGGGCGGGTGGGGGTGGTTTTTGGTGGTTGGGGGGGGCAACTTGGGACTTTTCGGAGCTACTCTGGAGCTGTTGTCTACTTGGGAATCCCACGGTGGTGCTTCCCCGCCGTTGGCTCGGGGGGCCTGCAGTCTTTGTGAAGCAGAAGGAAAGTTAGTTGGTGTCAGTGAACCTGGGAAGCACTCAGCAGGGTCAGACATACAGATTCCGTTTGTCAGTCAGGGTGAAAGCAGTTGCCCTGGGCCTGTCCTAGGGGCCCCTGGAAGGTGCGAGTTCTCTCACACCCTCTCTGACCCAGAGACTGAGCTCTTCCTGCTGCAGGAGTGGCTAAGCAGCCCTCAGTTTAAACAGCAGGTGTTTGCAGGTGCCCCTAGGTGTATAAACACAACCACAAGAACACGGCGCTGTTCAGTTGTTCACTGTTACAGTCCTTGGCCCCGGTTCAAGTTCCGGGTCATCTGGCTATGGTAATGTCTTGGGGACAGGCCTGGCGTGACACTGGCCGCAGAGGTCTGGCTGTGATGGCCTTGGGAGCAGACTGAGCAGGCTGCCAGGTGGCCTGAGGTCATGCCTCCCAGTCCCAGGGAGCCAGGCCTCCCAGTAGATAGGCTGGGGTCTGGAGGGACAATGCAGGACTGGAAGTTGGGTCTCTACCATTCACTCACTGAGGCCTCGAGCATGGCACGGTTGTTCTGAGCTCGGCTCCCTGGTTGGTAAAACGGTGTTGGAAATAGTCCTAGGGCTCGTTTTTGCCTGTGCCCTGCTTTTTAAGTATTCTATAAGTACCTCAAAACTCCTGGGCAGGGGACCAGCAGTTGGCATAATGGCTATGTCGTTGGGCTCCCGTGTAGTCAACCGCAGTTCGAGTCCCGGACCTGGTGGCTTAAACTCACACTGGGCACGTGTGCATGTGTGCCCAAGATCCCAAGAGGAGAAGGGAGGAGAAGGGAGGAGAAGAGACTGCGGCGTGGCCATCCCCCTGGGGGGTGATTTCTCGCTTTCTGTCTCTCTGTCTCTCTCTGGCGAGCGCATGCGCCCTATAGTAAAGACTTCTTCAAAAAACAAACAAACAAACAATAAAAACTCCTGAACAGCATGGTGAGATCAGAGGCAACCATGAACCTCCTAAGAGTGAAATTTAAAACTTGGGGAAGCAGCAGGTGACATGGTGGTTAAGGTACTGGACAATCCCACGTGGCCAACCACAGTTCGAGTCCCAAACCCGATGGTTTACTTTCTCACTTCTCTATGTATCTTTCTCTGGTCAAATTAAAATAAATGAAAGAATAAGTAAAATTAAATAAAGAATTTTTTTTAAAAAAAGAGTGAGATTTAGGGACCAGCGTTTAGCGTAATGGCTATGTCACTGGACTCCCATGTAGTCGACCGTGGTTTGAGTCCCGGACCTGGCGGCTTAAACTCACCGGGCGCATGTGTGTGTGTGCCCAAGATCCCGAGAGGAGAGTGGAGGAGAAGGGATTGCGGCGTGGCCATCCCCTCTGGGTGGTGATTTCTTGCTTTCTGTCTCTCTGTCTCTCTTTCTTTTGGGCGGGTGCACACATCCTATAGCAAAAACCTCTCCAAAAAAAAAAAAGTGAGATTTAAAACTTAATCGAGAGCCAGCAGGTGGCATGGTGGTTAAGGCACTCGATTGCATATTGCCAATTCTGCAGTTCGAATCTCAAATCCATGCTTAAAAATACATGCCAGGCACAGTGTGTGTGCATGCATGCCCAAAATCCCAAGAGGGAAATGGAGGAGAAGAGATTGAAGTATGGCCATTCCCCTGGGGGATGAGTTTCACTTTTTGTCCCTCTGTCTCTCTCTCTCTCCAGCAAGTGTATGTGCCCTAGGGCAAAAATATAAACAAACAAACAAAACTAATGAAATCCTGGGGTTTTGTCTTAGCTCTGCCACAGGCTTTCCTGGGGCAGTTCCCGCAAAACAAGCTGCAGTGGCCCCCCTCTGTGATAATGGTGGGTCGGTGTTTTGAACATCTACCCTGAGCCAGACGCTGCCGTGCATGACTTCTGTGCAGTAACTGCGCAGTCCGCCCGGTAGCTGTTGTGAGGGAGGCAGGATTATTGCCTCCAGTTTATAGGCAGGGAGGAGGAACTGGCCCAGGGTCGGGCAGCCTATAAGTCGAGGTAGACAGGAAGTGTGACCTCACAGCTCACGCCTGTAACCGTATTGCCATATCGCAGAGAATACCATACACCACACATCAAAACAGGGCCAGAGTAAATGAGCCCCTGAGTCATAGTGTGGTGGGGAGCGGTGTCGGGATGACCAGGGAGGTGCAGTCTGCACCACCGTGTGCCCCCGTCACTGTCACAGTGCAGCCTCACTGTGGTCCTCAGGGAAGGAGTTTCTAGACTGTCCCAAACAGGACGCAGCACGAACCATAACAGGGCTGTCAGTTCTTTGATCTGCAGCAGTGCAGACATCACGGTCTTCATTAAGATAGGCATTTTAGGAACGACTGAGCACCCCTGTGGGGACACTGGCCCCCGGGCTCTCTCCCAGCTGCCCTTGTGACCTGAGTGCTGCAGGGGCTCGAGGACTGGGGAGCAGACCTGCGTCCACTGTGCCGTGTGGCTCAGCAGCTTGAACCCTTGCTGCAGCCTAGTTTATGTGCTGAGTCTAGAGGAGGCTGTGGCTGTGCAGAAGGGAAGGCAGGGCCCTGGTTGCAGTGCTTTGCTTCTAAGGCACCCTTCACCTGGCCTTCCTCTGCAGTATTGATAGCAGTCAGGTCAAAGGCAGTTAGAGCCTGGGCAGGTGAAGCGTTGACAGACGTGTACTAGACCTTCCTACTCCCTTCCCCTCCTCCTCCTGTTTCTTTTCGTTAATTGTCTTATTAGACAGATTTTTACTATAGGGCGCATGCGCTCGCTGGAGAGACAGAAACAGAGAGAATGCGAGAAATCACTACCTGGGGGATGGCCATGCCACAACCCCTTCTCCTCCATTCTCTTAGGATTTGGGGCACGCACAAACATGGAGTGAGTTTTAAGCTGCACTCAAACCGCTCAACTCTGTGGGAGTCTTCCAACTGCTCAACTCTGTGGGAGTCTAGCAATGTAACCATTACACCCTCTGCTGGTCTCCGTTAATTGTCATTTTAACAGCCATGCCTAAACATGATTATGTATTTGTTTGGTTGGTTTTTTGGTAGTTTTATGTAAGATGTGTACACTCACTGGAGCCAGAGAGAGAGAGAAAGTAAGAAAGTACCCCCCAAAGGCCAGCAGGTGGCATGGTGGTTAAGGTACTGGACACTCCCACATGGCTGACCACAGTTTGAATCCCGG